TGCCCCAGCTGCCCTGCCCCCACAACACTGGGGATCCCCCCTCCCCCTCGTGGCATAACCAGCCTCCAACATGAGGTTTCAGAGTGAAGGGCCACAGGGCCAGGGTACAGCTGCCAAGGAGAGAATGGCCCAGGCTGGCAGCAGGAAGGCTTCCTGGGCTGCCATATGGGCCAGAAAGGGGCTTGCGACGTCCCTGGGGACAGTGTCCTTCCCTGCCTCCTGCCCCCACAGCCTGGTCCCCACCTGGAGTGAAAGGAGAGTCGCCATCTGCCACTGCAGTACAGGGCTCATGACACACAGCACAACCCTTCTGCTCTCATCCAGGTTCCCAGACAGGGAGACAGCCCCGGTCAGAGGCCCCTCCGCACCCAAAACTTCCATCTTTATTGAGTCACAAAATGACCTTAGAGACTGACACAGGAAATGGGGGACCATCATGCTCAGCGTGTTGCATCTTCCCATGGCCCAGCCCCCATCAAGCACATGTGGGCCATCAGTTATCATGTCCCTCTCTTATGGCCAGGGAAACTTGAGGCACTGATGCGGGGGGGCTTTCCTAACATCAGCAGTTAGTGGCAAAGCTGGGGAGAGGACCCAGGAGTCCCGGCTCCCAGGGCTACTTACTGAAGCGAGCTCTTTTCCTAAGGCGGCCAGAAGCAAATGTGTGAGCTGCTGGCAGCTGGGCTGGTCTGTGGCCAAGGGAGCCGAGGACGGGGTGAGTGTGGGGCTGGGGGGGAATGTCGGTTTTAGGACTTCATCTCTGGGCCTCTCAGGTATCTCAGCTCACGGGCACTTGGTGAGCAAATCTCTGTCCCCAGTCCCTGCAGTCATGGGAGGGCAAGGCCAAGAGGCAGAGGGGCTAGCACCTGTGCTGATGCCTCGCCCGCAGGGGAACACTCCAGCTCGTGTCTGACTTGGGAAGATACTGAGCTTCTCGGGGGCAGCTGAGTGAGGCTGGGGGCGGGGCCGTCCCCCACTAAGAGAAGGGAACTGGACCCATCACTCCAAAGCCTTGAAGGTGCTGAACTCAGGCATCTCCTGGGAGCTGGTGGAGGTGGCAGAAGTCAGCCTCTTCTGTGGCCCGGGGGGGAGGCAGGTCCCTGGACTGCCCATGGCTTCCCTGTCTGATTTCTGGTTTCAGGGAGGAGAGAGAGACACAGAGAGCGCAGTCAGGCATAGGAAGGAGCCTGCTCTCCAACGCCAGGGCCCCTGGGGAACTGGAGCCAGGGAAGGCCAAGGAGACACCTCCACAGGTGTGAACTAGGGGCTAGGATCCCACCTCCTCCACCAGGGCCAGGGCCTCGACTGGGACTTACCACTGGGCCCACAAACACACCATTGTCAAACGACAGCTCTGTGAAAGGAGATGAGCAAGGTTACATGGTGATGGGTCTCCTCATAGCTCCAGTGGTGAACCCAGGTTTCCCCCACTGCTGGGGGTGGGGGTGGATGGATGCACAGGCACAGCAGCAATTTAACAGCAGGCAACAGCCCCATGCTGAGAGGGAGGCCCAGAAACACAGGGGCAACAACCTGTCTTGCAAAGCAGGGAACCCAGGAGCCTCCAGGCTCAATCCCAGCTGCCCCTAGAAAGGGGGGGGGGGGGGAAGGGCATGTCTACGCTGGGCCCCCACTGCTGTCTGGGGCTCATGCTCCCATCCATCCATAGGTGCCTGTGCCCACAGCCTTGCCCAGAGCAAACTGACCCCTGTGGTCCTAGGGCTGGTGAAGGTAGTTGCACCCCATGGCCAAGGACAAAGGGGGTGGAACCCTGGAGTCCTGATTTCCAGCCCTCCTGCTCCCCAGAGCTTCCCCCCATGCTGTTGTTGAGTCCCTGCCTCTTGGGGGAGAGAAACCACCCTGCCTGTGCCCACCTGTGGTGGGGAACCCGGTCTCTGTCCAGCATGAGTCCTGATCCCTGTGGAACAAAGAGACAAGAGGTGTCACAGGAAAAGAGGAGAAGGTGCGACTGTGTGTGGCCCCCAGGGGTTGTGGGGAGCACCCGGGGGCCATTTCCTTTGGGAGTTGCCTGTGACTGCCAGCCTGCGTGAGGTTCTCACCTTCTTATCTGCTGTCTTCTGGCCTTAACTGTTGGATAAGAAAAGAAAAACAGACTCTGTGAGGTCACCGGGGCTGGTACCTGGCACTCCTGGTGCAGCTCAGCCCTGCCCCCCTGAGCTGAGGTCAAGGGGGGATCTGGAGCAGATGGCTCTGGGAAACAGGCTGCTGAGAAGGGAGGTGGAAAGGTCTTAAACTGGGTCCCAGAGCCCATGGCCCCTTGGGAACACGTCTGTCCTGAGTTCTTGGGCCCAGGGTCTTGGGCAGGACAGTGCCAGGCAGGACCCCAAGCCCCCATGTGGCTCCTACCTTGCTTGGTGACCACAACAGCTAGGAGGACCAGGGCTAGAAGCACTGCACCAGCCACGCTCAGGGCCATGGGGAGAAACCAACCAGGACCTGGGAATGAGGAAAGAGCTGCTCAGGTGACCTGGGACAGACTTCAGGCCTCTCTGGACCGGGGCAGGGATTTTCAGTGATTTGGATGCCTCTTTCCTGCCCCACCCCAAGGGGGAGAGTACAGCCCCAACAAGCTGGCAGAGGCAGCCCTCCCATGAGGGAGAGACTCCCCCAAGAGGCAGGGACTCGAGAGCAGCCTGGGGGGAAGTTCTGGGGAGCAGGAGGGCTGGAAATCAGGACTCCGGGGTTCCACCCACTTTGCCCTTGGCTATGGGGTGTGACTACCTTCACCAGCCCTAGGACCATTGGGGTCAGTTTGCTCTGGGCAGTGGGGTGCAGGTCAGGAGTGAGGGGCACCAGCAGGGCTGTGGGGGGCAGGGGGCTGTAGGTCAGAAGTGAGGGGCACTGGCAGGGCTTGGACAGGGGCAGGGGTCTATAAGTCTGGAGTGAGTGGCACTAATAGATGCCCTCACCTGGCACCAGGATTTCCACCATGTTACTGGGGTTTGAGGTCACCAGGGCAGTCCCATTGACGTAGTGGTACCGGCAATAGTAGTGCCCAGAATCCCCCGCGGTGACACTCCCCAGCATGAAGGTGACATTGTGCTGGTTATGGGGAGCTTGTTGGCTCTGCAGGGGCTCAGCCACGTCAGTCCTCAGCAAGTCAAACCAGGAGCCCAGGTAGGTGCTGGGTGCAGTGCAGCAGATGCTGATGGAGTCTCCTGTCCGGATGTCTTCTGCAGCTGTGGCCAGGTAGGCAAGTGGCATGGGAGCACGGGACAAGGCTGCCAGGGACCCTGACCAGGGAGGGGGAAGGAAGAGGATCAGGGAGATGCAAGGCCCACAGACAGATCCACGGCCTCAGCTGCTCCCAACAGCTAATCCACATGTACCCCATTATCCTCCTCTGCAAAGCATCGGTGCTAGCCCTATCCACCCCCTGCCTTGTCATCATGGCACAGCCAGAGCCTGGCATATGCCAAACAGCCTCTCTTCCCTGAGAGCAGAGGGTGGGAGCCCCAGAAGCAGCCTTTGAGACACTGGCAGAATTCCACAGGACACCTGCCAGCTGAAGGGACAGAACTGAGAACTAGTGGAGCTGAGAAGCCCGCTCATGGGGAACACAGCTTGGCCCTGCCAGCGCCAGTCATATCCTCCCTGCTTCCCTGACCTAAATTTCAGCCACGGGACAATTTACAGACTCCCGTCCAACATCACCGTACCAGCAAAATGGTTATGTGAAGCCCCAGCCTGAGACACCACCCTTTTTGGTGCTGCAGGAGTTGTCAGTACCTGACATAAGTCCTCCCCAGTCAGACGCCAATCTAGCCACAGTCCTGACAGCTCCCTGTGTCTGCCTGCTTTGCTACTTTCCACAGATCAGACCCCAAAATATATCCCCTCCTCTCCCCACAAAGCTGGCCAGACACCAAGTCATGCAGTGTCCACAGTTGTTCACTCGCAACCTAGCTATGAAATCTAACAGGAGCTTCTCCGGGTCCCTCTTTCTGGATGGGATCATCCCAAAGGAAAGCCCTATGAATAGCAGGGAAAAGAACGTACCAGCAACAAGGAAGAGGAACCTCAGGCTGGCCTTTCTGCTGGGCATTCTGGAGCACTGGAAGGCAGATAGGGCAGGACCTGGGCATGTACAGAGGAAACCGCCAAGATAAAGCAGAAGAAGGCTTTGCCCAAGCCAGTTTCATCATTGCGGAAGGAAGTTGCAGACGGTCCCTGAGGGCAAAAGGAGAGGGGGGTTTTATTCCTCTTGATGCTGTCTCTAGACACCCACAAAGCACCACCTAAAATCAGAAGGGCCCATTCCAGCCGAGGCCAGCAGTGGAAAGTGGGGAAGAGCTTGCTGCCAGATTCTGGGAAGCATTCTCCCCTCATGCTCAGGGCCAGGGTGACCCCACTGACCTCAGGGGGATTGCTGCTGACCTAAGCTAAGTGAAAGGACAATGGGGACAGCCCTGACCTAAGTGAGAGGACAATGAGGAATGACGTAAGCTCAGCAGTCACTCTAAATTTCCACCAAGACCCAAATCTAGCCCCAAATCCAGCAAATCCCTGTACCCCTGGACTACAGATCTCATACGTTTGTCTGGAGCTTTTAGGCCCCATGTAATTATGGCCTACAGGAACCTCCCCCCAGCTAAAATGCATCTGGCTTTTGAGGTGGAACAAAGTGGTGCTTGCACAAGTTGTCATGATCAGAAGTGATGTACAACCCCGTGAGGCACTGAA